AGCGTGTCCCAGTGGTACGGTCGGTAACATAGAAGAGGCGACATGGAAGTGGTTCGCCAGCGACGTTAGTCGCCAATACGTGCTGGCTTACAGGTTTCCCGATTGCTGGCCATCAAAGGTGCACGGGCGAGTGCACCTTTGGGCCTTATCACCATAACGCCGGTGATACCAGCACACTCCAGGCTGGGAATTTTTAGGCCTACGACGTCTGCTGCCAGCTCGTGACGAAGATCTGCCACGAGTCGAGCTGGTGCGGCTATGTGAACGACCTCTAGATGTCCTCTCCTGTTTTAACTTATCTATCTCTTCATAAAGCTTAGCTATGTAGGCCACCACATCTAATTTTGATGACCCTTCGGTAGAGGAGTCCTTCGTCTGAGTTACGGTTACAGCCATCCCGCGAACAAGACGATATATAAATAGAATGATAACAACAAATATGATAACAAAAAATATGAGTAAAAACAAGGCAAATAAAATTTATAACTCCGAATGAAAAACAAATTACCAATATGAAAAAGGACTATTTACACTTTAGGCTACTAAGTAGGCAAACGGTGAAAACTCGGGCTCACCACTTGTAAGAGTTAGACTTAGGGTTTACTTCTACCTGACAATAACCACTCTTACAAACTCCTTCACCGTTTATGACCTTAATTAGTACTCTGCCTACGTGCAAGTACTAAAGAACGGAATCAAAGTTAGAAGACTCGAAATGGCAAGTGTAACTGGACCGGAATTATATTTACACAAAGAGATATGCAATTTGATAAGAAATAAAAAGTACACACTTATCTGGAGGTGAGACGGTTGTCGGCTCGTAGAGTGTACTAGGTGAAAGTACAGCGAGAGAGCGAGACAGTAACCGTACAGGAGGAACCGGAGTACAAAGCGGAAGTGGAAGTGAAGTTAAACATGTCAGGTTGCATTCATTCAAACAAAAGTTCAAAGGTACAATGTACACTACAGAGTTATCTTGTGTTATGGTAGTAGAAAAAACAAATCCAAACCTAAGTATTTTCTAGATATGAACTTATTAACCTACTTTGGCGACATTTTAATTTTTTTATCAACAAACCCTTAGTGATATCAACCTTTAATTAGCAAATGAAAACTAGAAGTAGATGCCATGTTACTAAGTTATTCAAAAGACCTAATTATGAGTGAAATAGTACTCGAATAATCTTATTCTAACTTAACTAAATAATGATAATCATTTAGCCTACCAATATGCCGTTTACTTTCAGTCTTAATTCAGAGACGAATTTAGTTACTCACTAAATTAGTAGTTTCAGGAGACTGCTCTACTCTTGTCTTCTAAATACTTTGCCCGATCGTGTTTTACTTCAAAATATGTGTATACTGGCCAGGTGATGTTGTTTATCTAGTTACACTGTTATTCAGTTGCACTGCCCCATCTTTGTTCCTATCACTCAAAACATCCCTTAAACTATCAACAAGTTAGCATCACTCCTAAATATATAACCTTAACCATTCGCATGCAAACAATGCTAATAACTTTATCACTTACGTGATATTTCGACTTTCGAATAATTAGTTTCCCCTTACATGAGCACCTGTTTCAATTTTAACGGATAGTTCTTACCTTTAACTACTGAATTAATACTCTTCGTTATATATCATCCTTACAAAATATAGGTACTGATAATAATTACAGCTAACAAATTTATCATGAGAACAAGAACGTACTGCATATTGATAACAATATAACTCAGAGGTGGACGTATCTTCTAAATGCACTACTCAATGCAACCCATGACGCTAATCTCCTTAACTCTGTAACTCACAACATTCTATGAAGTTAGTATTCACCATTAACAAGTAGAATGTCCATTGGAGGTATAGGGAATACATTCACTAGTGATTCAACGCAAGATACAAAATCAACGATACTGGAAACCACTTCCTTCAGGAACGAATCCCACGAGGTCATTGGAATTACAGAGTATCTAAAAAAAGGAAACAAGGGTTCCTAGGATGTATACATGAATATAACTATTAATATAATAATTAACGAGTTAGCACAGCAAGAATTAATGGAAGTTTATATCAATGTGCGATTGCATCAGTCAATATTTTTGACACAAGTGGATATTTAGACGAAGTAATAAGAAGACGTAATTTGTCTGAATCGTGTAGTGTTGTATTTGCGCAACGCATTTTGAACAATCTGGTCACGCATGGACTTTTCATGGAAATACATATGAAATTAAGAGAGTTAAGAGGTTAGAAAATAAATTTAGTTGGAATTAAAAGCACATACTGAAGGTCAAAATAAAAATGAAGATCATTAAACCAAATAACAGAGGTATTAGTACATCTACCCTGAATGGTATCCAAGCGAAGTTTACCAAAGGTTTCGTGTGATGACGAATAGTTTCGGAACTCACAAAGGTGGTTTAAACTCCCTAGTCACACTTGGGCTTCCACAAACTTTGGGATACAATCCAAACACGTTTTATAGACAGGTTTAAAAGATGTGCTAACGTCAATATTATGTCCTGGCTCTATAATATGTTTCGCAATAGAGGAGCTAGGTCTCTTGTTCTCACCATCAATGGCTTCTGAAGATTCTGTTTGCTTCTGGAAGCAATCAGGAATATGCTTTGAAACCAGCCCTTACTTGTAGAAATCGATGAGTCCTCCCTAAGTGGATATAGCAACGGCTTCTAAACCTCACGTCCATAGCTTCAATAGATGTCGGACACTACTTCTACACGATCCCAAAATAATTCTGCAAATTGACTTTGAACAAACGCAAATAATATGGCGTCAGGACAATAACAGAAAACGGAAGTTTATGAGACCAAACTCAATAATAGGACAAAATGAGGTACACCTCAGATGTCTTCACGTACCTGATCACGAGGATGGTATTCAAATCCACCAAAGTACTAGAATGTTGCAGCGTGCATTTAACTCAATTAATTTTGGCAGAAAACAGTGAATGTTGTAAGAGATCGTAAAACATATTGCAGTTTCTGCCCAGTTGTGAACACTAATCTTCGCTTGTATCTATGCATTCCATTGACTTTTAGCGATCAAAACGCCACACAAAAGTGCGGAAGCATGCACGAATTCAATATCAACCATATTCTTCGGTTCCTGCAACAGAAATATTTACTGCACAACATCTGATAGGATAATTTACAATCGAGTACAGGTTGCGCCAAGCTGCAAAGAAATTTATCGAAAGACAGTCGTTGAAATGTACGCGAAGCTTACTCGGTATGACAAATAATCATTGCATGAAGCAGACATCTAAGCGTCCTGCCACACAAGCAATCAGTAAATGCTCAAGAACAATATTGAACAACAATTTTCATATAAATTCATCCAACAAGATCAAAATAAGCACCAAAATCACGTCAAATGCCGTCAAGGTAAAGCTGGGGGCTCCACTTCAAATAGGGGATATGCCATATAATCGCCTCTTTTGGAGTCAACCAAAGCTACGACAGTCGAATGGCGGGACGAGCTACGCAGAAGTTTACCGAAGATCAGGAACCTATACCTTACAATCAAGAGGCAAGTACAAGGAAATCAAATTAATTTATGCTACCTCGTAAAAACGATGTTGGATATTGAATCAACTGAGCACAATCACACGTAGAGAATGAAACGAGGTTTGGGCTGCCATCTCCACCTTGATAACGGCTATACAATTTAACACTCATGTAGACCCGTTCTGATAGCTAGTAATATAATCCAGCTGTTTATAATGTTAAAACAGTGCTGATTTGTCGACAACTCACGATTGTAACTTATGTCATATCTGGCCTTGCCTGTGAAAATGACATGCTTGTCATGTAAATTCGCCTGTCTTTATGAAAATATATAAATTTTTGATTATTATAACAGCCGCAAAAATCACTGTATTTAACTGCACTTCAAATGAACCAGCCAAAACTTTCATAATAGGTCAGATGGTAAGGTTAGCATCCCTTTGCGGCTCTAACAGTTTGTCAAAATGAAGTGTGAAGATGGTGCATTTGTGTGCCCATTTTATATTCCGAATCGAAGATAAACACATTTTTTGATTTTTGATTATAGCTTGATTCGACACCGTATTTTTGATACATGTATGGAATTTTCAGCATGTGATATCGGTAGCTCAAATTTTGCAGGCCAACCATTGATATCGGGTGTGCGTCGGCAGGGGATCGAACCTCGGACCATGTGCATGGTCGGCGAGAGTCCTAACCACTGTGCTACCAATGCACCGATGTAAACCCGTTGAGCGTTAGGAAGCCAGTCCAATACAGCAGTTAGATCGTCCGGGGAAAGAAATGTATTTCACGGTTATCACTGATAAGCAGTGATGTGTGTCTAAATGGCGATTGTGCACGAACAACCATGTAGCACAGGAACATGCGAAATTGTATAGACCACTAACTGCATGCTTACAGCTTCGCCAGTTAGCTTAAGTAATGAAGGGCAGCAGCCAGTGTTGTATGATGACGAAACTGTCTAGGAAACTGAGAAACATTCTTATCCCTTCTTCCTCATTGAATCAGCTTCACTGTCAGTTCTGTGACAGGACGATTTTCAGCTCTATCGGTACTGGTATACGCTTCACTGTAGAATGCTTGCTTGAACTGTGTACATCTTTCTTAATCTCTAGGGATACTGCTAATTTGTTGATGACATTGATCTAATGGGTATTCTTCTTGATGTTACCAAAAAATATCAGTAAAAACCATGTCAGCAGATACCTATAAACTTCCGTCCTAGGGAGAAGTAGGTGGAATGTCTCTACTCGAACCAGTATAGGAGAACAGGTGGATATCCAGGGTTTCTTGTTTTATAAAGAGGCTACTATAGTTTGACATGTTTAACATTTCTGCAGTTCGAAGAAAGATGGTTCACAGCCGTATCTGACTAAAAACAAGTCAAGTTTGCGCCATTGTATTTGAAAGTTTTGATAATAGAGCAGAATGCAGTGACAATAATCAACAGCGCGCCATTGGGAAGTGAAGCACATTTGTTCGGTGGTTTCGACTGTTGAAGAATGTTATTTTGTCGATTGGTGTGGGATTTATATTTCACATGAAAGCGAAAATATGAGCATAGCTATAATATCTTGCAAACTGTATTATTTCAGTGCTCTGGCCAAATATCAGTGATTTGTTTAACTGCTTCAAAGTACTAAATGGCAGCCTTTTAGAGGTGACTGGTTTTGATATATTGCTGTGTGGTTGTTTTGTGTTTGATCTTTCACAGTGTAAATATCAAAAGACTAGCAGGTAATTCAAGTTTTTAACAAAGATCGCAAAGTTTATTTGCTATTTATTCACTTTTCGTGAAATATACTCTTTAGGTAATCGTCAGAATCGATACCTAAAGAATGTCCTTATTTCAACATCTGAATTTACTAGTTTCTCAAGACAGCGAATTGGTATTTATTTGGTTGTCAGTATAGGTTTCAAGCACGAGTTTCTGTGCAAAGTTTGATAGCTTTTGTCATGTATTTCAACAGGGTTTATGATGTTCTAGGTGTCTGCATTTCCTGGCCGTTGCAATTACAAGATAGTCAGCCTGTGCGCCTACGAAACACCCACTCGTGTGTGCACTAAAATCATACGGGGATTAAGTGCAAAAGAGTTTTATTTTGATAATTTAGTAACATCAGTTTTGGACCAACTTTTGGGTCCGTTGGCTAATTATGATGAACTCTAAATGGTTTCACAATGCTTCCCAAATAACAGCTGTCTCAAAGTAAAACAATTACTGCCTTGAACTCGAAATAGACGCTTAATATGCCTCGCTTTATAGACCTGTTGTTTGCACAAAGCATCTCTTGCCTACCAGGAATCTGTTGCTAGGACCCTCATACTAGAAGTTTAAGAAGAAAGACAAAAATTGATTGGGTTCTAGGATGTGAGTAAATTACATTTGAAATGGTTAGCTGAATCAAATTTTCCTATTCATATGCTGATCTGGTAACAGACATTCGCCTAAAAGATTAGGTTCACAGTTAGAAATTTAGTTTTCTAGGTTGTAATGTGATTAACTTTCACTCCTTACCTACCACCATACACTAGCTGGTGATTACTGTACATATTACTTTATCTAAAAAGAGCAATTAAACGAGAGAACTTACTATCCGGAAACGTCAATGTTTTTATATCTCTCATCTTCAATAGGCATTTCAGCCGAATATTGAAATAGAGCGCATACTTGGGTAAGCAGCAAGACGTCATACCTATAGAAGCTGGCAGATGTCGAATTGCCTTTGCATATCCGTGGCTGGGGTACAAAAAGTTGTTGATGAGTGTCATTTTCCTTCTTCTTTCTCACTTATTAAGCCAAACAGCACACAGTCAGTTATGCACTCGAATCTAAATGAATGACGTGTCTTCTTCTCTGTTCTAGCTAGTCCACGAGAACCACCTAAGGAATCTGATAAATCCTCTGGTTAATTTCTGATATTCAATGAGAGGTAAGGAAAGTCAGTCTGAGGCTGTGAAGATGCATCGGTTGAAATAGCTAGGCCACGTGCCACGCATACCGAACCAACTTCGTCGTCGAGTAGTGTCAGCTGATAATTCAACTGAAAGTTGGGGGTGGTCAGACAAAAATTTGGTATCAGTCCATAAAGTCTTTGACAGTTGGTTTTGACCACATTAACTCCCTGGTTGAATATTGTTTTCTCTACTTTTTATGTGCTACATGAAGTGTGACGGCTTGAATTGCTTCTGTGCAAAGTTTTACGTTGGAACTTAGCATCGTATGTTTAGGGAATTACGAACCTTGTCTCCCTGGTTCAATTATCTAGCAGTGGTAACAAGAAAAGATGCGAAAATTCTGAGGGTTTGTATTGTCAGCGAAAGGAAAGCAAGGTGAAGGTGGGTAATGCGTTTGGGATGTTAATTCTACACGTTATCCAACCGACATTTCTGCAGAAAGACTCATTTGGGCCAGTGTAAGTTGCGTGATTGCAACATGCAAGACTAACTGCCACATTAGATTAACAATTGTCAGTCAGGTAGTGTTAGGTGTCATTGGGTATGTACTGTTACACACTAATTCCATAACTCAACACTAAGGTGATATAGTCATTTCGATTCGCGAGAAAGAATAATCGCCAGGGTTTCGCTTCCACTTACACTGTGCCACTCGGAATTTGAGAACTACAGGCTGAAGAGAATAAAGCAAGTTATAGTTATGGATCAGAGCTCATTGAACAAATTCTTAACTTCCTTCAAGTTCTGGAACACTTACTGACACCCAAAAAGTTGCACACCGTGTGCGGTTTTGAAGGAAATATTGAGAGTACATTACGCTACTCGAAGCACTTCACCTGGTATCACGGCAAGTTACCATTTCAAGTGACAACAACCAGTATTGTTCCTTATGGGTTCTAAATTCCCCCGAATATATTCAGTTTTATTTCAAATACACAGTTTGAGACAATTGTACCCTGAAGCGACTAGTTCCTTCATACTTCATAGTAAAGATGCAAGCCATGTAAATCTTTTATCTCTTCCAAATGTAAAACAGTACTAGCTGGAATCTATTCCTAAGGTAAGGAAAAAGATTAAGGTTGTCAGTTATTCAGTAAGCTACGTATGCTCTAACAGATTTAATGGTGACTTTATCGTTTAACACTTGCCAACTTGACGTGATATCCGACTATCGACCAAAGGGCGTGTGTACTGCTCAACAGTCCGCTCCGTCCTCCTTTATGGCTGTGAGACCTGGCCATAGAGAGCGGAAGACATGAAAAGATTAGCTGTCTTCGATCATAGGTGCCTGCGTTCTATCTCCCGTGTGAAGTATAACAAGGTGAGCAATATTGAGGTTATTCGTGGGTCGAGTGCTAGGTAGGTGGGAGGGGAAATCGATCGACGAGGCTGTGAAAATACATGGACTGAGATGGTTAGGACATGTGCTACGTATGCCTAGTCATCGCCTTCCTCGATGGGCAATGTTAGCTGATATAGGGTCAGGCTGAAAGAGCTAGCAGCGGTCAAACGAAAACATGGCACCAGTCAATGAAATCTACAACAGTTAGTTTAAGCCACGTAGGAAGGTGTAGACTTCCTGACTGGTTAGGGTCCTCGGGACGGTAAAAACCAATGGTTGGAAACAATTGGTGACATGGCTCAAAATCGTTCTCAGTGGCGCAGATGCATCCACTCCTTGTGACTTATGATTTCCAATGAAACTGTTTTGTTCTTCGTTATTACTATTCCTTTGTCTCACACCTCTGTTTACTGTCTATATTATTATGCATTTCTCCTACTTTCTCTTGTTTTGTGTGCTGAGTGAAGTGTGGCGACTTGAACTGCCGCACATATGTGCAAAGTTCTATTTCGAAAACTGACCGAACCTGATTCCATGAGATGCTGAATATACATGAGTAGTATAACTCATCATCTCAGGAGACGGTGGTTTATTACCTGATCGATTGATCTTCCTGTCTCACTTACCTTCTATGCCACCACCTTGTGCATTGCTCATATGGTGGTTCCACCGAACGCCAGTAGTTCTGTGAAGCCAACGATAATGAGCTGCCTGAAGTTCCCATGCAACTCCTGTCTTGGGCGTCCACGTTCTCAGCCCTATGGTAGGTGTATCGCTGTGCAGTATATTCAAACCTACATAAGCAATTGGATATCTTGCTATTCTAAATGTGGCGTAGTTTAGTGATAGTTAACTTATTTCACTGTATTTATGCCGTGGTTTCATCATCTACCAACCCATCAAATTGGGTATAACTTCCAGGGAAAAATGGAGATGTGGCTGGCTAGTTTACACATTTTAAGCCTGAGTAACTTTATTAGCTTTATTAGCCCCCACAGTAAGTGTGGCTCTTAGGCTAACACATCAAAAGAAAGGTATCCCAGCCGAGTGAATTTAACCAACGAGGTAACTGATATGGTTGACACACTAAATGACTTCATCCTGTGTGGTTAGACAATTTATTGATGCAAATTGGTCATTAATCTGCGATTTGTGTTAAGGAAGTTGAAAGGAAGCCTTAAACATCCTCAAAATGGCCGGAAGATTTCATCCTTTTAGCATTCTTTTTTGATAGAACTATATCTTTTGAAGTTACTTCGTCAGTCACTAAACTCGGATCTTCTATGAAGACGTATCGGTTAAAAATAAAGAAAAGATATTCTTGATAAACATCACTCACTGAAGACATGGCTAAATCAAACATGACATCAATCGATGAAGTATTTAGTCGTTGGTTTGAGTCACATAGGGAAATGTAGACAGCCTGGTTGCGGTCCCCGAGACGCTAAGAACAAGTGGTTAGGGACTGTTGGTGACATGGATCGGTACCGTGGTTGTGTATTCCTTGTCATATCCAAGATGCATTAAATACTCGTCATTCTCCATGTGATATTATTTTCTTGTGCGTTTTGCATTTTTTTTCTTTATCTCTATGTGTGCTTTATGGAGTGCAGTTTCTGGAACTGCCGTACTTTTATACAGTTACATGTTGGAAACTCAGTCACTCAGTAGACATTTCATCTTATAGTTCACCAATCTTCGACACTTCTTCAAGTCCTTCAGCCTAGGAATTTGTTTTGAAGGATGTATTTAACAGGCATTCCTTTCAGTAAAAGCGGTGCTATTTGGTTGCTCACATAACTGATTTAGATTTCTCCTCTAGGTAAAGAAATATAACAAATAAGTGGTCCAGGCTCTGACATAAAAATGTGTAGTCGAAGTACTCGTAGTTCACTAAAAGTTAGTTGGTTAAATGGATAAGCAGGTCCAAAATTGCATTCCACTCTTTGGACATGTGTAATCGTAAGGTTTCAGTCGCCTTGGGACTGGAATAGAGGTTTACCGGATAAGTCACATTATCTGCAATGTAGGGAGTACTTAGGTTATTAGTGTAACAGCAAATTATTTGATTATGTTGTGAATATTCATCACTTAATGTAATTGAGGCGTGTTGAGCACACAGCCACTATCTACACATGCGCACCTATTGCAGATAAAGTTAGATTAGGTTAAGAAAACTAAAGGTGGTGTGTAAAGACCCGGGTCGCTCAATCAAACCGTGTAGGTAAATTTTCCTGGTTGAGTCTTTCATTGCAAAGTATCAACCACTGGAAACTTTTTGATTAAAAAGTAAACCACAAAGTCATGAATGTGCTGATCCTGTAATTCCGAAAATTTTCACCGGCTCTCACTGGATTTTGGTCTCACGCCTTTTATTCACTCTCACATAGTTCTGTCTGTTGGTTTCTACTGTGGTTACTTGAAATGATGCATTTCTATGCCAGTTTTAATGTTAATACCTATCTTTCCCGATAATTTGAAAGTTGAAGAAATCTAGATACAAAAGGGCATTGCTAGCTTTTGTTAACGTGTTATCTATAGTATAGGTGTAGCCGTATTTTCTGCTGTGCTCTGTACTGCCATCCCGCACGATCACTAAAAACGAACTCATGGTTCGACTTATTGTACCAGTGTCATATTCCGAGAGATTGGATATTTTATTAGAATGATAATGTGTAATCTTACAGTTAGGTATAGAATGTCATCCAGAAGCTCTCATCCTCCAAGATGATCGTGATATATGCTAAATATATGGATTTACTTGCTATTCTCAGCTGACTGACCACGTCTCAACATAGAACTTTGCACAGAAGTGCAGCAGTTCAGCTTGCCATACTTAGCCCAACATATAAAGATAGGAAAAGAAAAGGGAAGTTCAACAGAACTGTGTGTAGAAATGTGAGAGAAATAGTAACGTAGATAAACATGTGGGCTTAATGGATCTAGGATATAACAAAAAGTGAATTCATCTACTCCGCTGACAGCGATTTTGGGCCACATCACCAATGGTCTCGAGCCACTGGTTCTCCACACGTGGTCCTGACTACTCCAGCTGGGCAGTCTACATCTCCCTATGCGGCTGAAATAAACCAACACTCAAAGATTTCACGAACCGATCATGATTTGACCGCCTCTTACTCTTCCAAACTAATCCTGTACTGGCTTTTCTCAACATATTATGGTGTCTGAAGTTAAACTGATGTGAAAGTAAGCTGTTACCAGGTATGCAAAAATATAACTACCATCAATCTATTTGGTTTGTTTTCTGGTTTGAGTCACTTAAGAAAGTATTGACTTACTTGAATTCTGCAAGATTACCGAGAACACTAGGGGACTGGTATCGACGCTTGTACACCTTGTCTTCGTTTATACCATAAGAATTCCGCTTACCTTTTTTATTATCCTGTTTTTATTTGCGACTGATGATGTCATTGTTCCCACTCTGTTCCTCTCTTGTTGACTAATTCAAATTGACATGCGACTACGTCTTGTTCTGTTTTGTTTATTTCTCTGTGTAGGTATGGTGCATTGGTTTTGTGCTTGACTTTAAGGTAGGGGATGCCCTATCCACATACTTTTACTTGGGTTACAAGGCCTTCACAAATAAGGTATAGCTTCTAACCTAATGTGACAACTTGCTTTGGCTTTCATCATTTAGTTAAATGGAATGTTTTAAGATTTGAACATTGGCTACAATTTATTTTTTTAGCTCTAAAGTCGTTAAAATTGTTTGGTGTTTCGTACTTATCCACACTGCGAAAGTTAATTTTTCCAGGCACCTGTGAAAAATATATATTGTCTAATTACAGAAGTGATTCACACTGTCTCAACAGTTTTGTCCGTTCCTGTGAAAGATCTGTTGTTGGAAATGATGTGTATGCTAAAATAAAACAACCTTTTTACAAACTTTATAAAAGTGACATCTGAAAACGCCAGATTACTATCATCTTAACATGTGATCAAAGAACTGATAGTCCATATATTATTTGTACGGAAACAAGCTAATTCAGTCTTATAACTTCAGCTGAACTTTCTGGGATATTGCAAGGACAAGTGACAAGCTACTCACTTAGTTTAGCTAGGTTGAATCGTAGTAATTCAGTTAAATATCTAGATAATGTTGTATTATTGTTTAGTTGGTGACAGTTTAGAACCTGTCAATTAGTGACAGCTAGTCAAGTGCATATTTTGGTAAAACGCCATAGGCAATTATCACAGTTATCAGCCTTAGTAGAATAATCGCTGACGAAATCTCTGTACGGATATAAAAAGCTCGTGCAGTATTTGTCAAAATACGTCATCTTTAGCGTAGACATAATACTGGGTTATCAATCAAAGGATGTGTGTACTACTCGGCAGTTCGCTCTATCCTTCATGTCTGTGAAACACGGCTATTGAAAACGAAGACCTAAAGAGGCCAGCTATCTTCGACTGCGTATGTTCTCGTTCTATCTGTCGTGTTAAGTAGTGAGTAGTATTGAAGGTAGGCGTAGTGTTAGGTAAGGAGGAAAAGCCAATATATGACGTGAAGCCGCATCGATGGAGATAGATGGCTAGGGTGTATGACTCATACCGAGCCACCACCTTCCTCATCTAACAGTAAGTTGACATACAGTTCAGTTTGAATAGAGTTGGGGGTGGGGGTGGTCAAATCAAAACCTAGCATCCATGAAGTTTTTGACTTTGTTTGAGCCAGCCACGTAAGGTTTAGACTGTCTGGTTTGGGTCCTCAGGATCATGTGCTGAGAACCAATAACTGGCGACATGATGGTATGGCTAAAAAATTTTCAGTGGTGCAGATGCATCCACTCTCTGTGACTGACTGACCCACTAATTTCTCATGTTTATCCATGTTACTATTTCTCCTGTACATTTCTGTTGGTTATAATTCTTTTGAGTTTTTCCTTTAATTTTGTGTGGTATATGAAATGTGGCATGTTGAAGTGTGTAGAGTTGTACGTGGAAATTCAAGCAGTCATCACTGAGGTTATCCAAAAATAAATTTGTATTATTAGCGGTTTTCAGATGGTTACTGTTTTACAGAAATAATTATTCCATAGATTTTTGAAAGAAGCAGGTTATTAGTGATCTGATCTATTTACTACTTTTTCTGCAATGGTACTATACTGTTTAGTGTTTCTCACTATGAGATTATAAACTAACTTTCAGGATAACATGATCTGCTCACTTTTAAAGCCACAATCTTTTTAGTAGGTTATGTTTCTAGCTGTTCACTTGACATAGTTATTATCAGTATTTCATTTTTCAGATATGGGATCTTCTGAAGCAAGTACACGTCGACGAGTTAAGTTATATATGCTAAATGATGAACGGCAGTGGGATGACAAAGGCACCGGTCATGTATCTGCCTTGTACACTGAACAGGACAATATGGCGCTTGTAGTAATTTCAGAAACAGACGGATCTTATCTACTTGAGTCCAAAATACTACCAGATACAGCGTATCAAAAGCAACAAGAAACGCTAATAGTTTGGTCGGAAGGTGAAAATATGGATTTGGCTTTATCTTTTCAAGAAAAAGTTGGATGCGACGATGTATGGGAGAAGATTTGTGCTGTTCAAGGGAAAGATCCATCAGTAGAGATTACTCAGGAAGTTATCGATGAATCAGATGATGTCGATGACACAGATGGATATACACCTTCCATGATGCAAAGCATCCAGCCTCTTAGTCTCCCTCCTTGTGAATTGAGTCGTCTTGAAGAAATCGTTGATGTGATTAGTCAAGCTGTTGCATCACCTCCAAAACGCGAGAGGTTAGTCGCTTTTTTGGAGTCAACAAATTATCTACACCAGTTAGTTGATGTTTTTCATAAAGCAGAAGACTTAGAAGATATAGAATCACTACATCATCTTTACGAAATCATGCGACAATTTATACTGGTGAATAAACACAGTCTATATGAAAACTTATTTGCTGATGATATGTTAATGGATGTAATTGGTATACTGGAATATAATCCTTCTGGACGTACCAAACATCGTGATTTCCTTAAGAATAAAGCTACTTTTAAGGAAGTATTACCGTTACATAATGCAGATTTGGTGACAAAAATACATCAAACCTATCGCGTTCAGTATATACAAGATTGTTGTCTACCACCTCCTTGTTTATTCGATGAACATACTCTTTCCCAACTTAAAGCGTTTGTTTCTATAAACAAAATGGAGATTATACGAGCTCTTCAAGAAGATGAAGAATTTATGTGCCGACTTTTTACACGTTTAAAGGCAGCAGACACAGATCTAATCCATCGGAAAGATTTATCACTTTTTGTAAAAGAATTCTGTAATATTTCAATTCAAACTGATCAAAAGGAAAGTTTTCTTAGTTGCTTACTTCAACATGGAGCATTAAGAACAGCTGAAGTATTACTTGCAATTGATGATCGTGATATTAAATCAGCTGCTCTAGAAATTCTACAGGCATTTATTGAACACCAACCTTCTGTTGTTCGTGAGTATGTATTCAGAGAAACTGCTCCTTTTCGTAAGGATGAAGAATTACTCATTAATTTAATGATAAATCAACTGCTTACTGATCCAGATCCAGGTAAGTTATTTTATAGGTTAATATTCAAGATAATTTTTTTCTAGAACTCAGTGATGCTTTCCTTCTGGGATACATGCTACGCATTCTTATCGATCCGGACAATATGAATAATTCTGGTGTGGTAAGTCACACTGTTTCATGTGAATGTGTGTATATGTGCAGTAATCATTATTCACCTTTAAGGTATCAGGAGATTCCTTGGCTAGTTCGCGAGGTCTCACAGGTGTAGGAATAGCATTGAGTGTTAGGGCAGAAAAATCACTTCTTGACTGGATCCCAGTAGATAGTTGTATATGTGCGGTCCGTCTAAATGGGTTCGTTAGAAGAAGGAAGGACGGCATTACCCATCATTGTCTTTTCATAGCCTCCGCTTGTGTTCCAACTGACTGCAGTTCAGATGAATTGAAGGACGATTGCTACAAGGAACTTTATTTTGCTGCGAAATGCAAAACGTTGAGATATAATTGTTTTAGCAGGCGACTTCAATGCCCATGTAGGGAAGTTGTGCCAGACTGAGAAGTATGTAGTTGGCACGTGTGGAGTTCCCTGCCGATAAGTCGACAACGGTGGTCGTTTACTACAGTTCTGTTCAGATAATCATCTGTTTCTACCTAAAACCATGATTCATTCTGCGTACTATGAATAAATCAGCTTCTCTTTCTCCTTTTGTTACGCTCGTGTACATATCTATAATAAAATTCAACAGAATTAGAATTTTTGATGCCAAGTCCTGTGATTTTCATCTGTCTGCACTAGATTTCGTAACTTTGATAAAGCTATTAGCATTAAATAGTCTAACATCAGTAAAAACAACATTACTTTGTTTCTCATTCATTGGGAAATACACGATTTTTTTTTGTGATATTAGATAGATTATTCTTTCCAGACAGGAAAATGAATACCATTTTTTTAAGAACATTATGCTAATTCTAAGTCGTATTTAAGGTCTAAGGTTTTTAATCATCAATGTTTGTAGATGTCATCGAATTATTTATCATATAAGACACCTTAATTTACCTTGTAAACCATTTTGTGAAGATACATGGAAATGTGCTTTAGTCACTTTTCAAACTTTTTGTTTCTGAACTTGCAATTGTGTGTAGTCCAGAGGGTTTCATACAATTCAGTTAGAGCATCAAATCATGTAAACTAAATTATTAGACTGTATATGGTAGTGTTATGCAAATTGAAGGAAGGATTTGTATATCATAATAGATTTCGAACTAGCCTGTCCTCAAAATTGTTTTCAATAGCTCAGATGCATTCACGCTTTGTTATCATCTTCTAGATTCATTAAACCCTCCTATTTTTCCATGGTACTGTTCTTTCTCCCGTACATTTCTGCTTACTATTGTACTTGTGGGGATCCCTTTTTTCCTCTTTTTTGTCTACTTTTGTGTGCTACATGGAATGAGGCAAATTTGAACTGTTATACATGTGTACAAAGTCGTATGTTGGAACTGTGTCATTCTTTTCGGATTACTAGCTGAGTTAGTTACCGACTGGTGTGTATGTCGGAACGGTTAACAAGATCTGCATTTCATTCGTCCAACTCTCAGTCCTTCGGATTGTTCTGATTTTTCTAATTTATTAATTAATGTATTCGGATACTCTACATTTTAGTGTAAATTGTAAAGGAGTATAATACAGTAGTAGTACACTAGTTAAATGTAGTTGATTTGACGATTAGTGCTAAATAATCTGAATTAAGTACATTTAGTTGTGTTCTTTGTGCAAAAATCTGGTTTATGTATATGGGGGTGTCTGGAAATGGAGTGTTATATTCTCTGAGATGCATACTCAGTATTTGTCATTCATAACTCCAGTGCATTCAAACAGCTTGACCGATAGCTGCTACTTTTATGTGGTAGTCGGGCTTGCATAATACAACCAGGTACATGGTCTATTCCTTCAGGTCCTATCGTGCTAGAAAGGCCGTTTGGATAAGTATTAGACCAAAAACAGTTTATATAATAGTGTAAGTCGCTTGCACTATCTTGGGGGTAACTGAGGGCGAAGTAGTACTGCTGACGAATAGGGATGTAAGGTGTTCAATCTGGACAAGCTTCAAGCTGGGTTTGCTAACTTCTCTGCTCTAGAAAGAGGTTGTTAGAAAAGGTCAGACGTAAAAGTTGAACAGTCTGACTTTCCTTTCAGTCGTCCCTAGCAAGCAGTAAGATCTTCATACGGACGCAACTTCAGTAACCAATCTAAAGAGGCTGTGTGTAATTTGCCTTAAGCGGTTATCTCATGGGCTCCGCTCCTCTTTCAAGTATTTTTTTAAGGCAACTTCCGCAGTATGGATAGTCGGGAAGTAGTAGCGGTCTGCGCACTTCCATAAGCATTTAAACAAGGAAATCATACCCTAAGAAGAATGTTAGTCATAAGAATAATTAGTAGATGTAGTTAAGTGGAAATTTTCAATCTTTTGTATTAGTTTTGACAGTAATCCCGCATTCTGTGCTTCTGTAGTAAAAGTATCTTTTTCTTTAAAGAAAAATGCGTAGACTAATGAAGTTATCATCTAGAGTTTTATTATTAATATTACTTTTTGATGAAAATTTAATGCGTCGTATATGTGATTCTTAAATGATTCACGTGAATGTAGCTCTTATCTTGACACTTTTAGACAAGAGATTGCAATGATATTTAAGTATCTTCATAGTATATAAATCATGTCCTAAGGGTGTACTTTATGCTGTTGTGTCGTAAAATACAGCACACGCGCACACACACACACTTAAATTCTTACTTTAAATTCATTCACATAATCCTTCGTTATTAAATGTTTTGTACACTGAACGAAATCTTCAGCATATGCAGACTCATATTACATTGATCCAGTGAAAGTTAAACTTAATAAATACTCTACTGTCTAAATGGAAGTAGTTACGGTTAGTCTGAAATATAAGTCAGTTTTTGAAAGTGTAACGCCTGAATATCTGAATTCAAATGTTATCAGCTGTAGTTTTCACTGCATCATTGCACCATGGTTTCTCAATTATGCGTGAATCTTCGAAGTCCATATGTTACTTTACCTCAGTAAAGTTTTATGACGTGCGTCGGTAGTTTGGGGGGGGGGGGGTAGAATAGTGGTGTTACTATAGTCTTTGATCCAATTCCTAAGCCTCGCCGGAAAAGAGCATAGATTGAGCTTAAGGCTAGCGACGACCTCACTGTGTAAGAACAACACAAGGGCTAATAAAACCCCAAAGCTTAAAGCACTCGAAGCCCAATTGGAATACAAAAGGAATAAAATTGAACTTTTATCACAAATCATCACAAATGGAATATTTAGATATAGTTGATCCACCATATAGAAAAGGAGGCTCTTTAAATCTGCTTCCTATTTAGTTAAAGTGAGTTTGCCTGTTGGGAATTTTTGTGAACTTGAAAGTTTTACACTAAAAATGCCTCAAGTAAAATGAGGGTATATAAATAACTAGTCAAAGTTGCACAATCCCTCCATTCCTCTTTAATTTTTTCACCTTTATTATTATTATTATTCTGAAGGCAGTTCTAAGGGGAGGCAAGTTGTATAAACCTTTTACGCGGAGATAGGCTACTTAACCTTGACTATGTGCACAATATCGTCCTTATTGTGTGGCCATTCTAATGACATCAGTCACTGCCTTATTATATGTAGAATATGCTTCATATAATCGAAATATAACGTTGCTTAGCGAGTTTTTCAGTAGCACGTGTTCCCTGTCATCTTCACATATGAACCGTTAGAAATAGTTCAATGTGTGGTTGCTGCTATTTCTAACTGAATACTGAAATCTGAACCCAGCCTACTACAGACTTTAATAATAACTAATTAAGATCAATTGTCACGTTTTCGCTTCATCATATTTTACTCTTTTAAAGTGTTTTACTTAAGCAGATGATTTATTATTTTTCTCAAGTCAAGTTTTTTTCTTTTTTCTTCTCCTTTTTATTACAGCGTAGTGAAAAAACAGATTTCCTCAGTTTCTTCTACAAACGATGCATCAATACGCTAGTTCGACCATTATTTGATAATACAGCAAAAGATGTCCTGGAAAAGGGTAAATGTGAATTTAGCAAACAAAATTATGGTATAATGTTTTCTATTTGTACTTACAGATGATTATCATACTGCACTGGTATTGAATCATATCATTGAATTGCTCACCTTCTGCATTGAAACGCATACATATCATATGAAGAATTATTGCTTTAATCGGGATCTTTTAAAGCGTGTACTTGTTTTATTACAGTCTTCGCATAAATTTCTTGTATTAGGTAAGTTCCTGTTCAATTGTTATAACCAACTAAATCTGTCTATTTATTATTTTCTAGCCGCTTTACGTCTTCTACGACGTGTTGTTCATATGAAAGAGGAATTTTACAATCGTTATTTAATTAAAAATAATCTTTTTAAACCTGTTCTCAAATTATTTGTATCCAATGGATATCGTTATAATCTATTGGATTCAGCTATCATTGAATTGTTTGATTATATACGTGCAGAAGAAATCACCTCGTTGATAACGCATATTGTGGAGAATTATTGGGATATATTAAAGAATATCAATTATGTACAGACATTTACAGATCTTAAACGAACCTATGATCATAGTCATCGGTCAGTAAGACCTGTTGTGGGGACGGTTAATCAACAGGCCACACTGGATGTGTAAGTTCTGTATATATTTTCTTTAAAAAATTTCAAAGTAGCGTTTATTATTATGATTTTGAACACCTTTTTAAGTCATCTAATCGTTTTCTGTGTTGTAGCACTGTGGTGTGGTGGAGACCAAGTCATCAGATAAGGTTGTGAAGCCACATCGATGAAGATGGCTAGGACATGTGCTACGCACGCCAAACCCCCCGCACCATCTTATATTGGTCAACCGATGTTAGCCGATACAGGATTAGGTTGGAAAAGAGTCAGGGGTGGCTGAATCAAAACCTGCCAGTCAACGCATAAAGTCGTTGACTGTTGGTTTGAATTAACCATGTAGGGAGGTGTAGACTGCTTGGTGGTGTTAGGTGGGGGGGGTCCTTTAGACATTGAGAACCAATGTCTTGAAACTGTTGGTGACATAGCTGCAAAATCATCCTCAGCGTCATCGTTATATTCCCTCCCTCTCTCCTCCTCACCTCCCACATTCGCTGAATTCTGATTTATTCTGCAAGTGGTCATTCTTCCTCTTGCATATTTTTGTTTATTATGTTCTTTTTACATTCCCATTTGTTCCCAACCTTTTTGTGTTCTTGTGCCTTATGAAGCGAAGCACTTTTATGCAGGATGCTACAAGGCCCATTAATTACTGCATATTCTAACCAACTATTATGTGAGTAAGGTATTCAGTAACAGTGATATACATAATTTATAAGTATATATATTTCAATACCCATGCTCTCTATATGCTTAGCAGCTTAGCAGTTCTTATGTGTGTGCATTATGTAATTTAGACCTGAGAATAATCGACTTCAGAAAATCCTTTCCTTTAGCTAAAACATTTAGCTTTTTGACACTTCATATAAACTAATTTTATGATATTAAAGACTCACTAAGGGAGTTTCAACGTTGAACTTTGTACAGACGTACAGTAGTCCAGGTCGTCACATTCCATATAGCACTGAAACATAGAGGAAACAGTTTTAAAAGGATTATAATAAGCAAATGTATGAAAGAGAAAGAGTAGTAACACGAAGATTTAATAGATCTAAAAGATAACAAAGAATAGATTTTGAACCATATCACCAATAGTTTCCATCTGTTGGTTCTTCAGACTGCTGAGAACCCCAACCAAACAGTCTACATCTCCCCTACGTGGTTTGCTGAAACCAGCTGTCAGCAACTTCGTGGATTAATGCCAGGTTTTGGTTTGTAATGCTTCTAATTCTTATCTAACATTGCTTGTCAATGGTAGACAGTTATTCGTCATATGCAGCACATGTTATAACCATTTCAATAGATACATCTTCACAACTTTACTGATTAATTTGCTCTCCTTACCCAACACTACGCGTAGTTCATTGAAGTCCATGTATGTCCCTATTGGGTCTTACGTAATACTGCTAGCCTTGTATTCATTTTTAATGAGGTGGTTTTTTTTAATGAAAAAATAACCCAACAAAAACAACGAAATATTCTCATATTGAATAATAATGACTGACTGGTTTCAACGTAGAACTTTACACTGATGTGCAACAGTTCGAGTTGCCACACTCCCTCCTTGTAGCACACAAAGCAAGAGAACAGAGTAAACGGAGGTTCAGAAAACAGATAATAAACAGAAGTGTGATCGAGGCAAAAAAGAATAGTAATATGGAAGAACAATAGAGTTTCATTGGAGTGGACGCCTCTGTGTCAGCCATTGACAACGAGGATTTTGAGCCATATCACCAATTGCCCCCAGCCTTCATTGCTGCTTACGACGTAGTCTCGAGGACCCCAACTAGGCAGTCAGGTAAACTACACCTCCCTACATGACTGACTGGCTGGCTGGTTTAAACTCATTATTATGGATTTCATTAACTGATGAAGCCATGTTGGCTTTGGTTTGACCACCACTTGCTTTCTCTTTTCCAATCTGATCCATCCTATGCCAGTTAGTTAACACTGCCCGTCGGTCGAGGAAGGCAGGCGATGGCTACGCATGAATGCGTAACACATGTCCTAACCACTTCATTCGATACAGCCTCTTCACAACTTCGTCGACTGATTGATTTCCTATCCCACCTACCTAACACTCGACCGAAGCCTAGCGTCAACATTACTCGTTAAACTATACCACCTAACGTGGGAGATAAGACGCAGACACCTCGGATGAAAGACAGCTGGTCAGGCTTTTCATGTCTTCCACTTTCTTTCAATGGCCATGTCTCGCTCACAGCCAGACATAAAGGAGGATAGAGCGATCTGCTGGGCTGAGCAGTACACACGCCCTTTGGTCGACAGCCGGCTAGTCGGATATCACGTCTACTAAGTCAGAGATGGTGTAAGTTGGCATAATCGACAATATTGAGACATGCGGCACATTTTACCAGTATCTGAGATTGGTCTTACGGATTCTTTGCCAAAATATAATTTTACGTTAACGTCTTTTTCTTATAAAAAGAAAAAAACAGTTATATTTTTCTGTGATTTCTGTTTATACATTGTTTATTAATATTTCCATAATTTTAGACTATCACTAGCTTCTACTCGTTTTCAACGGGATCCACGTACACTAGAAATGGAAGAAGAACAATGGTTTGATCAAGATGAAGAGGAAGAAGAAGATGATGACGGCGATAATCTATTCCCCTCTCAACAATCATCAACACTACTTAGTAGAACATCAACTGGTAGTGCTGCTACTGCTTCAACGGAAACTACTGTTGTTGCAAATGGTTTATCAAATTTATCCTCATATGGATTACATTCTGTCATTAATACTTCTGCTAATACTGCGACTACTACTACTAGCAGTACTACTTCATCGGATTTATTAGGCATTGTTACATCAACAGATACATCATCTGGTTTCAGTTCTTTATCATCCTCCACATCCTCTTCCTCATCAACATCATCAGTTGTATCGAGTAATTCTAGTCTTGATTCATGTGCTAGTGTATTGCCTCATTCATCGAATTTTTCATCAAAATCTAATATTATGGATAATCTAACGGATAATTTGTGTTTATCATCATCACGTACAACAACAACATCCTTGTGTGATCGACTTCGTCTACGTCCTCATTCTACTAGTGCTACTAATATTCTCTTAAATGATGACAATGAATCTCCTACAACAACAACAATAACAACACGTCTTAATTTTACACGTCATAATCCTATAGCAATACATATTAAATCATCCTCATTATGCAGTAGTAGAGATCATCAAACTGCTGCTGATGATGATTCATTTGATGAAATAAGTAGTAGTAATAATAATAATCGATTGTCAGTTACAGATTCAACTACTACTAGTAGTAGTTTATTAACATCTCCTAAAGATGTCAATCATATTTCAGATATAGAATGCAAAGAAAATGTAACCTATTCAACATCATCATCATCATTGAATTCAAGTAGTAGTAGTAGTGTTGTGTCAAATTCATCATCTGTAGTCGTTGTAACAAATTCTGTTGTTATCAATGATAAATCTCCAAAAATTAAACGAAATCATATTGATTCACAAATTGGTGGTCATGATGATGACAATGACAATGATGATGATGAAGAATGCAGTCCAATGATTCAAGTGAAACGTGTAAAAAAATCGAAACAAACAATTAGTAAAACAACATCGCATAATTTTAATCAACACAACGAAACAACAACATCAACAACAATAAAAACAGTTAACACAGACGACAGTTACTCTGATGCATCTAGTGAGGTAAGTGGAAATTGGTGTAATGTGCATGTGCTTGGTGTGTGTGTGTGTGTATGCATATGTGCGCGCGTGCGTTACGCTTTGTTTCATTCTTGTTCATATGTGGTTCACATGATAAATCTGCAGCACTAGGTTCTCAAATTATGAAGTGTACTAATTAATACCCTTTGAAATATAAGCGTTATATATATTTTTAATTAATGCCTATTATTTGAATATGCATCGATGGTGGTGGTGGTGTTCACCAACCACACATGTGGTCCGGGATTCAGTCCCGACTGTCACACTCCCAAACCTTCTTTAACCAGTAGTTAACCCGGTAGAGAGGGAAGTTTGGGCATGAGGCTAGCAACCCCACTCCGTAGAAAATACAATCACTGCTAACTGGAACTTCAAAATTCAAGCTTGAAAGCCCATATGTTCCACTTAGAATGCGAAGGAATAAAACAAAAATAATATCATTCGAAACTATTTGTTGTGAAATATATGATTTCTTGTTGATATATTTGATCGTTTTGATCAGATTCATTTTATCGTATGGGCTGTTCGAATGGATTCCTCGATATTCCATAGGATTAAGAACTTGTTTGCGGCCAGTGGAATGCTCGTTTCGTCATGCTTAGTAGTCGAATCGTAGTACTCATCACCTTGAACCCTAAAGCACGGCCCACTGGACCAGAAGTATCACTGTTTGTACAACATGTATACCTTGAAATTTCTTATCCATGTTTCTGATTTCCTGTTGATTTGATGCGACCACATCGGTGCTTACCATTATATGGAAAAAGGGTTACACACCAATAACAGTATCCCATAAAATATTAGAATAAGTAGAATTAAGTCTGTGCATCGTGTACTAATTAGTTAACGGCATTATTTTTTTCTGTGATTTGTTTAATGGGTGTGGTGAGTGATTGCTTGGATGAATTTCCTTACTGAAGCAGTCGGTCGTCCTAAGGGATTACTTCCCGGAGCATTCGGCTTGAAGTCTTATCCACCATGCAGCAAAGCAGCGTTCCGATGGCCTCCAGTGTCCGAAACAAGTTCATTCACCATTATTATGTTTAAGATTGTAGAGCGTATATGCAGCACAAGTTTGAAATTAAACTTCCCTAACGCCCCAACAGTCTTCCCTTATGGGTAAATTTTATTTTGATAAAGTCTCACAGTGTTATACAGTAATATTTACTGATGACGTTTCGAGCACAATTTATTGATATGATTATGAGCAATAAATTGTGCTCGAAACGTCATCAGTAAATATTTCTGTATAACACTGTGAGACTATGACAAAATAAAATTTACCCATAATGGAATTACACTCTACCACAGTGCCCAAGTTTTATTCTTATATCAAAGCCCCAATAGTCCGCTGATAAGTACCGAACGTTTGCATTCGCCTTTTTATTTCATAAGCATTTAAAATAGCGTAATTCAACAACTTTTTCTTGTTTGTCTATTAAGTCATAATCACTATTTGAAGGATAATCCTATTCGCTGGTTGTCCAAATCGAGGTGAATGTTTAGCATTAATAACAGCTAATCATGAACGTAACTACGTAATTAGTGATAAAATGTAATCATATTACTATGTCCATGCCCACGTGCTCAGGGATTCGTTTTTCTGACGATGTACTGCTGCTAAACCTCATTTAACCGGTAGTACGCTCTGTAAAAGAGAAAGTTTATCGCAAACCTAACAGTCCAACCTCCTTAAAAACCGCCGCTACTGAAACTTCAAAGTTTAAGCCTGAAGCCCCCGTATATTCCAGTCGGAACGCAATGGAATGAGAAGAACAGGGAATTCATGTATGATTTACTCACTGAGATTAACCATTATTTCAAATATTAGTTATATTTTTATGATTCCCCCCCCCACATCCTTCTTATAAACCATTCATTTATCTTGTCCTCTAAAGGTTTTAGACACTGATCCATTATCGCCTATCGGTTTAGTGGATTATTCCGATGAAGAAAGTGAAGATGAAGATCAAATAAAAGAGAAAAAAGATCTCAGTCAATCTGAAGATGATGATCAAGTATCAGAGAAAACTGTCGATGAAACTTATCACAATCCATCAGATGTTTCATCTAGTCAAATTGTGACAGATGTTGCTTGATTGTACAAAATTGCTAATTATTCGTTTGTTCATTCATTCATTCCTCACACTTTACTACCCCTTTCCCTCGTGCCCCAGTACACACAGACAACCGCATCCTATCCTCTCCTCCGTTAGAAGTCACGGAACGTTCAAAACGAATCATTTCTGTGCCTTTATCTTCACAACCTTACAGGGTTGTTTTTCAACGAGTAAAACTACTGGAAACAAACATTAAGTGTTTCTCTAGTTGATGAAATGCAAAAAATGGTTCTTTGTTCCGTTTGGTTTTTTTAACCTTTTGAAGATGCGCCAGCCTATTTTAATCTTTCCTGTTAAATAATAATAATAATCATTATTGTTATTATTAGTGCGCATTGTGTACATAGAAATATGAATATTATGCGTAATTTGTTGTACACATACACACATATATATATATATATACAAACATTAAAAAGGAACCAATATAATATATGTAGAAAGTGAGAAACAGAAATGTGTTTTTTTTAAATATTATTACTAATATTATTTATCTAGGCATTTGCCTTTTGTAAATGCGCTTTGTTAAATAACTCATTCACACCTTGTTTTAATTGTAATCACTACCTATGTGTGTGTGTGTTGTCCAATGGATTCTTCTCCTACTTCTTCTTTTTCTCTTCCACTCCCCTCTCCCCCCCCCCAAAAAAAACCACTGGTTACCGAAATACTTCACAGAAGGCCAAATAAATGATTAAAGAATTTGTTTCATAATGCATCTCTCAAAATGTTTTAAATATATATATATCTGGCTGTGTTTTCATAAACACACATACACATACATTTGTATACACACACATATAAGCGTACAATTAACAATCGCTCATATTGTTCTCTGCGTTTTAAACTCCTCTCTTCTGGTTGGGTGAGTTTATTTTATTTCCACAAAAACCCGCCAGATATTTGGTGTACAATAAAAAAAAAGTTTTACGTATTTAATAAGTGAATTTAACATCTTTTTACTGGTTCACAGAGAGATTCGTCGTATCTAAGATGAAGACAATAATTATTTATGGATCAGATGTTTTTTTTTAATTTGAGTAGGTGCTTTTACTAGACAACAAGGGTAGAGTTGTGACTTATTAGTGTTTAGACTGTCGACTTCCAGTCAGTTGGTCATAGGTTCACTATGTGCTCTTCACTTGCCACATAGGCTTGGCTAGCCGCACACGCACACAATAGGTGTGATACATTGCCAGCTGCATAGAATTGCAAGTGATTGCTGTTGAGTGAAGTCTCATGTTGTTGTTTGACACCAGACACGGAGTATTGGATGTGTTCTATCTGGTTCAGGAGTTTTAAAGGATTATTGTAGATTGTAAAGGAGATATTCTTTCCACGCGTTATTTTCATTCCATACAAGCACTTCTCAAAAAAGAAAAACAATTTCATACCGTTGATGTCATTTTAAAAAAGTTTAATAATCCGATTAATTTATGGTTAGGCGCATATACCCTAAAGTTGTATTTCGACTGAATTCCACTCTGTTTGTATGTGGGGATGCTTAACCTGAGCCGTTGACCAAAATATAGTTTAAGCTTTTATCTAAAAGATATCTGTCAACATGGTGGCACTGATAATTAATGGTTAGAGATGAACTCTTATCTTGTGCGTTGTGATGTGTTAATACAGCACAGAGTTTTGCTTGATTAGGTCTTGGAGTGTCGTACAACCTCCATTTTTATATTATCCTTATGTCTTTGTGTGTGTGTGTTTCTCTTCTATTACTTTATACCTCATAATATGCAAATATCTTGCAATGACTCGGATAATTTTGCAGTAATTCTAATTTTCTGCAGTCATGCTTTTATAGTTTAATGTACTGGTGTCAATATATATATTACTTGAATAAATCACATTGGTAAAAATGTAACCGTTACTTTAATAAAGTGCGCAGTAGAGTTTCAAAGGTGGGTAGATTGATCTCAACAGCCAAAATGAAACAATGCTTACTGGACATGTTTAGTTCACATTTAAGATGCATGCCATCTAAGACTCATTCCTGTGGAGATGTGGAATTAATATGTGGTCAGCAGTACTGAAAAAATGTATTGATTCCGGTGGGCTTTCATCAGGATGAGGAGTGGAAGCTGACCAAAACTTTCCACAACGACCATAAACAATATTTGGTGCTACAAGTTAAAGAGATGGAGATGACATCATAGGTAAATAACACCAGACACGTATTCAGGCTCATTAAGAAAATAAGTCGGGAAAGGCAAATGATAAGAGAGACAATCTCTGCGGAAAGTGGTTCCTTAATTATCTGTCAGAATATAAGAGTGATATGTTGGAAAGAACACTTATAAGGAATAATTTAACTGGCCTATAGCCACGCTGAATTTACCCAACACCCAATTGAATAGAATGTTGACATCGATCCTCTCATTGCAACTGAGGTTGGAAAAGCTGTCTCAATGAAACGAGGCAAAAGGTCAAGACCTGGGGGAATAACTTCAGAGGTGTTCAAGGACAGTGGCGATCAACTGTTCTCTGGGTTAACTAAGATAGATATTGCATAATGTCTTGAAATCAAAGATAGTCCTGTTAAACTGATGAATATTACTGATTATCCTAGTTTATGAAAAGGAGGCAAGTCCTGTAATAATCATAGTTTGACTAACATAACATCTACAATTCTGGGTTCAGTAATCATGCTTAGATTAAACGGTGTTCGAGAGAAGTAAACTCGGGAAGACCAGGCAGGCGTGAAGCGTTGATCACAATCTTCACCCTTTTGGAAAATAGGCATACTTACCGGCGTCCGAAACTTCCAATATTTCATGACCTGACTGTCTACCGAGTGGATCAGAAGCTTCCCGGCAGCAAAACTCATTACAGTATACAACACCACTCCTTCCATGATCAACTCAAAACTGGATAAATACCCTGCTGATGTCACCTCCAACTGCGTTTATGAATTTACGTGCGCTTGCGGGAGCAAGTACATTGGAAGGACAGAAAGAAGGGCTTCTATCCGGTTTTCTGAACATATTCCAAGAAACCTATGCCTGAAAGGAAGCAAATATTCTCAGAGTGCAATTACCAGACATATTGTTGATACCGGACATCTCGTAGAGATTTCTAAGTCCTTCAAAATATTAAATAGACAAAGGACAGCAAATTTACTACGATTTGCCGAAGCGATCGCAATCAAACGATTTAAACCAGACTTATGCATACAGAAAGAGAGTGTGATTAACCTCTCACTCCCTTGGTAACTGAATTTTGATTTTGATTAGTCATCAGTGATCTCAACTTACTGAGCAAATCTCAATCTTATAAACTGTAAATGCTTTTGTTTTTTGGAGTTGCCATGTGAACCTACAAGCTAACACTGTTTCTGTTAATCAATTTTTCTATTTTCTGTCTTACCCCTACCCCCTCTTTTCAACTCTGAAAGTGTATAAATTGATGATGATAACTTAAACTAAAAATTGTAATGCTTTCATTCTTTTTGGATGCGTCAAATTTATCTCTTCTCTACTACTAATCAAACATTAAAGTATGTTATTATCATTTATATAACCATTGTAATTTCAAGTAGTCTGCAGCTGATGAGAACCTGTGAAATAGAATGATATCATTTTATACTGCAAATTTCGTCTTCCTTTCTTTATCGAAATTTATCAAGGGAACCAGTTGTATGAAGGATCAGTTTGTCTGTGAAGAGAGTGCTGACAAAGTAAATCACGAGGGTAGTTATCTGAACTGATGTTCTACAGAGATGCCTAGTGTCCCCATTTGCTTTTACTTTCATTATAGATGTACTAATTGGTGGTGGGATTCTATTCGACTTTAGGGACTCAGGGACTGACATCTTACCACGGCATAGTCTAGTCGGCTACTGTAGGGATTACGAATGATATCGTCCTTTTAGGTAGCTAAAAATGCAGTCTTTTGAGCACTTTGATTAGGAATCTCCGAAGGTTTGACATGGGACTCACCCTATAAATATTAGGCAATGCCGCAAGACTGGTTTGAAAAGACTCGTATTTCAGCAACGGCCATTAAGACGTACATGAGGGTGTTGAGCAATTCACTTATTTGGGAAGTTGTGTTGGCCCTAATAGACTGTTCGTTGACGAAATCTCAGCTCGTGTAGCAATTGCCAACATACGTCATCTTTGGCCTAGACGAAATGTCCGGCTATCAATCAAAGACGTGTGCTTTGTGCAGCAGTTCCCTCTGTCCTCCTTTATGACTACGAAAATGGGAGATATTAAATGGTTAGTTAACTTTGACGACGGGTGTTGATTGATATTCTGGAGAGTGATACTGAAATTAGTGGGTAGTATAAAGCAAGCAAGAGAAATCAATCGACGAGGTTGCGAACCTGAATCGATTGAGGTGGCTAGAACACATGCTACGTATGCCGATCTACCACCCTTGTCGTCGAACAACGTTAACTGGTTGGAAGAGATTTTTAGGTAGTTCAATCAAAACTTGAGATCGGCCTGTGAAGTTTTTGGTAGTCGGTTTGAGCCAATCATGTCAGGAGGTGTGGATTGGTCTTGTTTGAGTCTTCGGGATGCTAAGAACCAATAGCTTGAGACCTGGTGATGTGACTCAAAATCTTTGTCAGCGGGCTGGCTCCGATGCATACACTCTTTTTGAGCTGACGTATTTATTTGTCCTTGTGCTTTTCCGTGTTACTGTTGTTTCTTCCATACATCTTCGCTTCTTATAGTTCTTTTGGATTTCTTTAGTCTACATTGTGTGCTACATGGGGAATATGGCGAGTTGAACTGCTACACTCGTGTGCAAAGCTGTACGCTGATACTCGGAATACATTCAATTATCAAAGCACTTTAGCAAGTTTGTGAAGAAGACCTTTGGAAGCAATCATTTCGGCCATTTGTTGTCAGTGGCGAAGAATCCTTACCCAATGTTTTGATAATTATTAGCGAATGACCTCTCTATTAAGGAGTGGTTCTTATACCTTTAGACGAACATCCTCTGCTGTATATAATTTTAAAATGTAACTGATTTTTTCAAGATTTGGGATGATTGTGATTTGTAGTCCATATCGGGGATACTTTCTTTGGTATCACTTTTACTTAATCGTATTGAATCGATGTAAAACTTGGAACAAATATTACATCAGTTCAAGTTACCATACTTCGGTAAGGCCATACAAAAAGGGAAACAGAATGATACCATAGAGGGTCCTATATGAGGTCAATCTCGAATCCGAAAAGTTCAGTGGCAACGTCTGTGACTGCATCACTGGGTGACGCGGGTTTGAGTCTCAAAAGAGACATGAGTTTCTTCAAGGTTGATGAGTGCCAACTAGTACGAAACCTAGGTCCAAGGCTTCCTGCTGATTGGCTTCAACCATCTAATATGAACAATTCAAAGATAGATCCACTCTATGTCAGAGAATTTCATACCATTTAATTTATTTTTGATTCCGAGCACCCCATACAAACAATCTATACTTCCTTAAGTTAACTGAGATCAATAGTGTATCACTTCATATTTTTTTGGCGTGACCATTTTTAATCCTTACCTTCAACACAATCTCATGCTTTCGCTAACTCTAACCTTGTTGTTCTTTACAGTTGGTCAGTCAGTCATATTTATTAGATAGACAAATGGATTAAATAAGCTCAGTGGTGTTTTATTTTTGCCTTGAAAAATCATCAATATTGTATTCATATTCCATACTTAAGTTGTTGTCACTGGAAATTTTTATACTGTGTGTCGGTGGCACAGCGGTTAGGACTCTCGCCGACCATGCACATGGTCCTGGGTTTGATCCCCTGCCGTCGCACACCTGATATCAATAGGTCGGCCTGCTAAATTTGGGCTACCCATATCACGCATGCTGAAAATTCCATACCTGTACCGAAAATACGGTGTGGAATCAAGCTATAATAAAAAATAAAGGTGATCAAAAAAATAATCATTATCCAACACAAGCAATTTGATATGGTGAATTAAGTGTTGCTATAAGAGGGTAGTAACAAAAGTGATGAGTTGTCACAAACGATTGTTAAAGAAGAGTTGCGTAATAACATGAATAGTTTAATGAAAGAGTTGTACTCAGGGTGTACATGGAAACAAAATATACGGAATTACACAAGGGTTTTAAGTAGAAAAATAAGCATACAAACAAAAGTTAAGTCAAATCAAACAAACAAACAAAAGTTAAGTCAAATCAACACAGTTGTTACCATAGGAGTAGAAGTGGTTGAATAATTTTCTTTTGTATGCACAGTTCTGGTTCCTCGAGCTTAATGGCTAGGGCTTCTGCGATGCAAAGAAGACGGAATCGTACTGTCTTTTGAAGGTTGTTCTTCACTTTGTAGATTACTCTGACGGAGACTCTTCGCTGAACTACTTGTCTTCTGTCAATTTGATACGGATTGTAATTTGTAATAATCCAGTGATGTTAACATCTACCTGTTGCATTGAGAGTAGTACTGTAATGACAGAAGACAAGGGTCAGGTAACAGGCCGTTTATTTAGAAAATCAACAGGTAATTTATAGATTTTTATATACATTTTTATAGGTTATTGTTGACAGAGAAACAGAGTCTTCTGATCTGTTGTTTTCTCCCTAAAAAGTTAACCTGTCATCTCTTTGTGACCATTTCCTTGAAGGTCATACCATATATCTGCGAATCGTATCCGCCCCCCCCGCAAGGCCTTTGTTCTTGTTTTTCTTATGACCAATATTTTAGAAGTAAACATTGACGTAAATTTCTGTCTATCAGTTTTGGCTAGCAGACGGCTCTCTCACCACAGTACGTCTTACAATATTCTTCTGGTAATGTATTACATATAATCTAAATTACACATCTAATTTGTGGATGGTGACTAGCAGTGGAATCCAGGATGCGCATTTCGTCCTATTTGGGACTCGTCGGTTGGATGTACCTGCATTTCCCACC